TACAAATCACTGCATCTCATTTTTATTTTCCCCCAAAAGTTGGGGAAAAAATTGAATTCTCAGAAACAATTTGCTTCCTTTCCTGCATTTATGACAAATGATTATTTCAGCATTGTGCTCTGGGGGTTATCAATGTAACTTCCATCTGAATCAACCTTCATATGTTTCACAGTCAACCAGATAATATATCTGTTTGATTTCCAAATTACACACTATAAAACATATCCTTGGGTCTGCTTACAAAGATTAACGGCTAAATGAAAGCAATCAGTCATGTGGGAGTCTCGATAATGAGAAATATATCCAAGCAATTATGAAATCATTATTAATATTGTTGATATATATAGGAATGGTTATTGTAGTTGTTATGACAATAATTTGGTTAGTAGCAAATGAAGATCCACGTATACACAGTCTGACATTTACCTTGATTTATTTGATGCCAAATCAATTTATAACTGACACAGATTTAGATCTAGCTTCCAACATTGATGAATATCACATGTTAAGTGAAGAGCTATATTGGTAATGTTAACATCAGCATTGCACTTACATATCATTAGTGTTTCTAGTTTATAAGCCTTATGAATTTGGGATCTTTGCTTTCTGGAACCTATTATTACAAAACCTCTTTTTTAATAAAATACCAGGATGCATGTTTTTTATTTCACATTGTAAGATGAGCAGTTGAATTTCTTTCACAACTAGTCCAGACAACTTCTTTTTTTGGTGACACAACATCAATTTTGCTCTCAGGACAATCTCTGGGCTTTATTTTGTTGGAGGTAGAATTAATAGTAAGGTTGTTATTGGAATTTTAGGTGGGTTTAGGATTAGGGTCAGTATTGGATGCATAGTGGTTGGTCTAGTGTCGAGACTTTGAATTCATGAATGTTAGAAATTGAACGCATGCAGAGCCTTGGTCGCTGGAGTGTGTGTCCTAGAATCAGCATCCTGAAAAATACACTTGAGTACTGGCAAGTACTGGCAGAAAATAAAACATAGATATAACATGAAAGTTTGGTCCAAACCTTCCAGGTAAATCCTAGTCATCATAATTCAATTACGAAAGCATTTTTTGACAATTTTGTTATGGGGGGGGGGGGGGGAAACAAGTCTTCTTTGAATATTCTTCCAAATTAACAAAAAGAAAGCTGTATTTCATCTTTTTTCTTTTTTTCAAATTTCTTCTTTTTTCAAATTTAATGATGATCTTTATTAGATTCTTAAAAGCTGGACATTCCTGAGAAGGATTCAGGCAGGCTATGTAGTCATCAATGTTCTTACAACCCTGAGGTCTTTGTACTTCTCCTTCTGAGGACGTCCCATTATAAGCAGATAATTGCATGCTTCGAGAAATGCCAAAACTCATCTAGCCAGCCTGCTCCGTATAGGGTCTTTTCACACTGCATGCATGCCACCAAAATGGACTGGGTTTCAATTGTCCTACAACAACACAATCTCAACTACATTCAAACCGTCCTTGTTTTCACGAAGTGACGGTATAGTGAGGAAAATCGTAACACAAAGTGAATTCAATTTTTTTTCACTACCGTCACTTCGTGAAAACAGCGACGAAACATGTCTATAGCGACCGCCAAAGGAAGCACAAAAAGTGGTCTTTGCAGACAGCTGGTCTTTGTAGACAGGTTCCTTTACTATACATGTGTATGTTCCAATGAGAAACCATTTCTTCTTCTTCTTCTTTAAGATAATCTGCCTCCTTCAATACTGAAGATTCTTGCAGATGCCGTATACCCGGCCTGGTTGGGGTATGCAGGTTGACCATTACGCCGGGGTTTCCCCCTACTCTTATACGAATAGTGCAATGGGAAACCAAAAATGTGGTCTTTGTAGACAGGTGGTCACCAAAGCAGGTTAGACTGTATTAAAAAAATCTATTCAAGGGCAATTTCCATACCCTTTGTATGTTTAGTAGAAATCATGTTTGCATTATGTAATCCGTCATTGGAATTGGAATTGCCCCAAGTTTTTTTTTCTTCTCCAAAAGTAGTGGTAACAACCGGTGTAGCAGCAACATTTTCAGAATGACCACCTGCCTATAGAGACCATATCTTTTTTTGCTTTGGTTGAGCTTTGTTATCTGTATTTCTTATCAAATATTTTGTTAAAGAACTTGTACATGTATATTAAAGACTATTTGTCTTTAAAGTCCCCCTCGGTGGTCTTTATGCACAGGTTAAGTTGCTGAAGGCCTAGTACACATTTGGACTTTTATTTGATGATGATGATGATGATGATGATGATGATTCACAGCATTTACATAGGTCATATATTTAAAAAACAATGTAGTTTTCTATAAATTCTTAATATAAGTTGCAAATGAAATCAATTCGACATACCTTTATTTGTACCACAATCGGCTTAATTTATTTTGAATAATGCTGTTAGGGTTTCCTTAAAAAAAAAAAACTAGTTTAATGATTTTTTTTTTTGCAGTACAATAATTAATGTTCTTTTGTATCTTTTTTTTGGAAATGCATAGAGATTATCCAGTATTAGGCAACATAAGAAAATTGTTTTTTTATCATAATTATAATTATTATTTTATTATTATTATTTCTACAACTACTACTACTGCTGCTGCTGCTGCTGCTACTACAACAAATACGTACTACTACCTCATGAATTCTAAGTGTAAACCATGTACAAGGGTGTAAAAGAATGAGGTATCATTCTCTGGCCGAGTGAACAGACCACCTTTCTCCAATCTAGCCATTCTGAAAGCAAAATTGAGATCCTGTTTGCCACTCATTGCCTGATCTTTGTGCTGGTTTTAAAGCTCTTCTTTTAACCCATTTATTTCTTGAACTCTTTATTTCGCGTAGCCTGATTTGTCTAGAGTAAATGCCATCTTGCTTTCAGGAGGTGATATGTACCGTAATGTGCAGCTTTGCCACGAACAGGCTTACTTCAAAATGTTGAACCTTCAGAGAAAGTCGGCTACAATTTGTCTTTTTTGAAGATCTATATTATAGTAACAGAAAATTGGCTTGAATATGTTCATTTTTTCTCATGCATAAAATTGATGGATTATGTGATTTCAAGTGACAGAAGGTGTATATAAGGGCAAGAGGGTCTTATCTTGGCTCTCAACAGATGATGTAATATATGTATATGCGCTATTTCCAAAGCCACAAACAGTTGTGAACTAGAAGTGTCAAGGCTGTATGTGGGTGATAATAGATTGTCTGGCTTGTGGGGAATAGAATTTTCCATCTGATATTATTACCCCGCCACAATGATGTTTTTGCTTCGATTTTTATTGTTTTGTTGTAAATTCAATTATGATGCAAATTGGTCGTCGTTTGGAGGCCATTTCTAGCATTGTTTGGGCTGCATTAGTTCTACAAAATGTATTTCATTTTATGTGAATATCAATCAAAGTTAATAATACAATTGAAATTGCCTGCACTCTCACAACTTTTGTGTCGAATGACAGATTTGGAGTACACATGATTAAATCATATAGGTGTAGAAATGTTATTTAGACGGTAGCATGATTGAACAGTACTAAAATCAACAATCTTAATACTGTTATATAGTACTCTCTTAACTTATTTCAAAATTTTACCTGCACCAATTTTTCTTTTCTTGGGCCTTTTCCCTTCCTTTCTATTAATGTGTACCACTTACAAGATTGTGTGAGATAGACAGTAACGCTTTGAGTGCAATTTCTTGGACTTCTTTCGAATTTAAAAACAAATTTACTTCACCTGGGTGGAGAGTGGCAAATATAGAATAATGTCTTGCAAATGGAAAGTGCCGCGGCAAGACTCACTCAGTATTATTACGTGCATGCATAAAATAAGGTTATCATTATTGGCGAGGTCTGGCCACTCCTTAAGACACTTGTAATCTTCTTAGCGTTCGTGTACTGAACTTTTGCAAGGTTCAATTTTCAGAAGACACTTGATCAAGCGGTGGGAGCGCTGCCAATCTAAATAATGAGAAATTGATTGAAATTCCTGTTCAAATTTATCCCGACGTGTCGTTACTTGCACATGCGTGTAGTCATGTGCTTCATCGAGGTAACAGGCGAATGTGGAGTTTGGGTATCGTTTCCTAGCCGGTAAATTTATTCTTCCAGTAATTCATTGATTGGCGTGAACAAGTTGAACCTGATATGTTACCGGTCGGAGACATTTTAATTGCGACTTATTCTCTTCTTTCGTGTTTTAAACTCTTCAGCTCAAACAAGCTGTCGTGTTGAGCTAGTTAGTTGCCATGGGAACGAAGTTTGTTTCAAACATAGTGCATGACATGAATACTCGTGCAAACAGCCCAAGTAATTAATCACACATTCTCACCCTTTGCCCAAGCATGGAGTATGTGGGATGATATTCACAGAGCCTGCCCATAAGGTTTTCAGTTTAGAAACATGAGAGAGAGAGAGAGAGAGAGAGAAAGAGAGGGAGAGAGAGAGAGAGAGAGAGGAGAGAGTGAGAGAGTGAGAGAGTGTAATGAGAAGAGAAAAGAGAAGAGTAACATCGAAAAAAGAAATTGAAAATACAACTAACTGCACTTTCTACCAACATCATCTAAGTTTCATTTGTTAATTAATGGTTGTTCGATGCTGCTCAATGGTTGTTCATGCGCTATGTGCTTTGTATCCAATTAAAAGGCACTTTATTAATGTAATATTATTATATTCATGGTTAGATTTCAAATTCTTGTTTCTATGAAGAATTAATGAATTCAAACAGAAGACTTCAGATTGTACAAAGTGCCACACTATTCTGATCAGGTATTCAGAGAGTGCATTCATTGGTCTTAATGAAAAAAGTTGATGATACAGTTCTTCTTTCTTGATATGTTGTATGCAACGTCAGAATTAAATTTCCATTTATCTACATATTCTAATCCATTAACTGTTTTCCCTTAAATTTATTGCAATTACCCAGATGGAATATACAATAATTGATTTCTAATTCTATCAGTTTAAGTATTTTACAAATGATTTTGTTTGTTGTTTACAGGAACGTCTGCTGTTATCGGTTTTACCACGGCATGTTGCCATGGAGATGAAAGCAGACATAGCGAATAAGAGAGAGGATATTCAATTCCACAAGATTTACATTCAGAGACATCAAGATGTCAGGTAAGAGGATTAAAACAAAAATATTATCTGTTGAGAACCAGAAGGGTGATAAAATAGAGATAAAGTTGAGTTCTTGTCACACGATTGCATTATGAAAGAAGCTGCGTGGAAGCCCTTGAAAAAGGTTGATCATGTACCACATTGGTGTATACTGGGAGGTTTTGGAATTATCAAAATAATTTTTAAAAATTGGCCAAGTATTATTCACCTTTCCGGGAACTCAAGCGTCTCTTCTGGTAAAGTTTGTCACTTTTTGACAAATAATAACCTTCACAACCTTCAACAATACCTGATAACCTTCTGTTTAAAAGAGAAGGTTGAGTTGTGGGGAAAGCGACACAAATAATTGATTAGCTTTTTCATTCCTTTTTTCTTTTGTGGAAGAATATCGTAAAAGGAAAGTCCCTGAAAAGGATTGCACAAGCTATCAATTAATTTTCTAGTTTACCTATTGATATTATGGATTTATTTGTACTCATAGTAATTTTCTCTGTTTTTTTTCCTGTTTCTACATTGTGACATAAGGCACAGGAGCAGAGAGAGAGAGAGAGAGAGAGATTGAATAACACACATGGGGGGGGGGGGGGAGGAAGAGGGGTTAAAGAGGAAAAAGAAGGGAATAAGAGAGAAGAAAGAAAACAAAAGGAAAATACAGAAAGTTTGAAAAAAATGGATAGGGAAAGGTAAAGAGATGGACAAAGATGTGAAGGAAGGGAGAGAGAGAGAGAGATAAAGAGAGAGAGAGAGAGAGAGAGAGAGAGAGAGGGAGGAGGAGGGAGAGAGGGAGGGGGGGGGGATAAAGGAAGAGATATGAAGCTGGAGTACGTGTCAGAGAACATTAAAAGGGCAAATGGACTTGAAAATTTCCTCTTTAGTTTTTCTATCCACCCCCAATACCCTGCCGCCTTGCCTTAAAAGATGGGAGGATTAATCACGGAAATGAGAGCACAGATTTTATTGATCGCAAACAGAACTCTCAAGTGGTGTATTTGCATGGACTCATTTTCCCTCCGATTCTCTGCTTTGTTGCCTGCCTGCAGTGCTCCTTATCGACGAACCCCCCCACCCCTCCCCATGCTCAAATATTCAAACCATTTCCTTCTTAAGTTCTTTTGATAGAAGTATTGTTTTGCTTTAAGAAGAACTCCTCATTTCCTCGAGCAGAATAGGTAGTTATGTCTGTTTAGATCCAGAAGGGCATTGACTCATATCATTTTACACACATGTAAAGCCGCTCTGGCTCCAAAAAGACAGTTTGTTGAGCATTGTTTTCTTCCTTTGTGAGTTGAATTTTCAAGCTGATATCATCTGTTGAGAACCAGTAGGCATTGACTCAAATACTGGTACTTTCATGTACATCGAGCTGATGCTGTTTGGCTCATAGGAGATTACATATAAAGTTTGAGCAGGAACACAATAAGGAAGAATTTTTTTTATTCTCACAGGCTTTTTTTTTCCAAAACGTAATACTAGTACTTATATTAAGGTACAATCAATCCTCAACACTATAGATTATTCTAAGATAATTTAGCCCATAAATGCATAACAAATAAAAAAATTATCTTATATTTGAAGACAAAAATGTATGTGTTGAATCATTTGCAACATTTCAGGAAGAATCTATTTCTCATGTTTAAGTTAATGTGAAGCCGATTTCCATCACTTCTCATAGTGGTACAAAAATCAAATCATACTCTCATATTCACACCCCTTTTCACTTTTTCACATGGAGATTTCATTCAATTATAACCTGCCACAGAAAGAAAAAAGAGAGTATTAAATTATATTTGTGTCAGAAATGCTTCAGAAAGCCCACGTTTCTTTTCCATTTTCTAAATTCAATAAGAAAATGTAAATTATCCACTGGATCAAGAATGTGGTTTGACGTTGGACACCTCTGTCACTTCTCTATTTCAAATTGAATTTGCAAGTGTAAGTTTATCCATAAGATTTGAATTATTTCTGACACTGATACCTTCAATTGCTCTTGTAACATTTGAAATTCGAATACTTTGTGGTTGTTTCTCTCTTTTATGCCTGCATTGAAGTGAGACATACATTATGTATTTTTCACTTCTTCTATTACCAATGTTTTTATTTCCACAACGCTTTTTCTCAAATTCTGCGCACCAAGCTTTTTCCCCATTTTTCTCTGAAACTACTGTAGTATAAGCCAAACAATTTTTTAAATGTCAGTTTTGAGCATATCATGTTAGAAGAATGAAATTGCTCTTAAAGGTGAAATTCAAAGAAAATCACAAATATGTCAATTAATGTATCACTAGAAACTGGTCAGCTAACAGATGGCCATCGTACAAGGTTGAGGTCAAATCCATATTGGGTGATTTATAAAAATACAAATACAACCACCTCCATAGCAGCTGGGATATATACGAGAGATTCGCCGGAAAAATAACGATGTTTTAATGACGTCACTATATGGAGCAATGCTGCCCAAGCAGACGACATTCCATAAAGAATGAACATAATTGCAAATCTATTATTTGTCAAACTATAATGAGTTTAGTGTTTATAAATGTAATGGCATGTCAAACCATTCGAAAGGGGATATGACCCGATTCTGATACTAAAATCTTTTGCTTGTAAATACACAGGATAGGGGTTAATTAACAATCAAAGAAACCAGACTTTCAAATTGAAAAACCCCCGGAATGATATTGAGGACGGCATTTGTTCCCTCTTGAACCGCCGAACATATCGCGGTGTGTGCAGCTGAATATACAATGGCGTCTTATTTTGTTTACAAGCGACAGATTCCTTTATTTTTGTCATCAAAATAAAACCATGCACAGGGTTTAGAGTGAGGCAATAGATTATACATTTAGTCTGACAGTAGTGAAAAAGAGAAAGAACTCAAGAGAAGATGAAAATACAGGCACTGAAAATGTGTGAGATGTCATGGGACATCGTCTGCTTGTGCAAATCATGTCTATACTGTGATCTTACACATCTCAGCAGCATTTGGAGAGCTCTTCAGGTGCTATGCCGGGGCTGTATTTAAGCGTTTTTTGTAATTTATAATAATCAGTACTTTGAATGTTTCCAAGCATTGAATTTCGATATCCTTGTCGAATCAAAGTTTCAACTTTGCAATAATGAAAACAAAGTTAGTTTTTAAAATCAATGAATATCTACTTTAAAATCCCCTTGTATTCATAGTGCGACAAGGAAAAGCTAAAAAGATTGTGCGCCATTTAGCCCTGTTAATGTTTACATTATGACACATTCATTGTTGGTGTTTCCCTAATGAGCAAGCCAACCGAGTTAAAAATAGTTAAATAGGCTAAATAAAGCACCTATTTGTAGCAAAGATTACATAACCACCCGTCTATTTATGGACATTCAACTATAAATAGCAGCTGGTTTATATTTGTTGAAATTTTAATCCAGAATTAGAGCAGTTTTGTTTTGTCAAAAACTCAGCATTAAGAGTGATTGTTTGTGTCAGAACTGGAAGTAGATCAATTTTATATTTCTGTGAGAATTGTATCAGCTTTGATTCTTTTTGTTTAATAGTCATTCTCTCAATAACACCAAGTGTGTATCTGCTGACGTTTTATTCTGAAATTAGATCATTTTGTGTGCCAGTATGTGGTAGTCTAGATTCATTTGTGTGTCAGAAGTAAAGCAATTTCGAATCAATAATCTAGATCAGATTTTATCAGCTTTAGTATTGTGTTATGATACCACCAATGAAATCCAAATCGGTTCATAAAAGAACAAGGGATTTTATTCAAATCCATTTGAATTATCTTTTAATTTTTGTAAAATATAATTAGTAGCAGCTGAAAGGATCTCTACACATACAAGTATGACGGACCATTCTCGTAGTGTGATCAAATTTAATGCAAGAATCTTTGTTACGTCCCTCTTTACAAATTATTTCATTCACCTTTTACAAATAATTGTATTTCAATAGCCAGAATGTGAATTGCATACATTAATTGTTGCTAGGTAGGACAAACATAGTCACGGCTTGTCCTACCTAAAAAAAAACAATTCACATGTGCACATTCTTTGTTTATCTTGTCTTCTTCTGACAGAGTTAATGCCGTACTGGCTCTCAACAAATGGTATTTGGTCTCGTGTTAAACAAAAAAAACAGTGACAAAAATATTAAAGCGTGTGGTGAGCAATTTAGCTCTCAAAAGCTACAAAAGTACTCTTGTAAAAATTATAATTCCTTAAAAAAACAATGTGAAAATCCCAGTAGGTATGTCTACATCAGCTCGAGATAGCCAAATAGCCCGCTATTTCTGATTTGGGAAATAAGCCTGAAGTTACGAATCGCGTCCTCATCAGCTCGAGATATTTTGCTCAGCGTTCGCGCATAGTGTGAGTCTTCGGGCAGGTGAAGACGCACCGGACAAATAGCGGGATACTTTGCAAACTAGCGCAAGATATCTTGGGATGATGATCTCGACCAAATATCCCGCTAATTGCAACTGCGGGCTGATGAAGTGCAAATTAGCTGGATAGTTAAAATAGCGGGTTATTTGGCAATCTCGAGCTGATGAAAACGGGCCTACTGAGACAGGCCTACTGAGACAATACAGAATCCTGAAAGAGCTCCTCCAAAATCCTTCTATCTTTTACTGGCTCAAAAAGCACTGGATGATTGGCTGCGTGGTAGGTTTTTTAATGTGTAAAACGCCTCCTATGTTTAATGATTCTGCAATTTCGATCATAATCCATCAGGGGAAATATCAGGGATTTTTCATGTTTTCATTTAAAGGTAAAGACCAGTATTGGCAACGCCCCAATTTCAAAAAATGAAATGGAAGCTCTCATTACCAATCATGTGAAAGAATATGTTTTGACTAATACATGATGATAAAAAATTTGCCGGGAAACCGCCTACTAATTCATATATATTTGGTAAATTTATTTCTCTCATGGTCTGGTGAGAGAGATAGGGTAGTCCCATATACACCTTTCTGTGTATAGTGCTTGTAACTTTACGAAGAATGGGCCAAATT